TTAAGCTTAACGGAGTTAGTGTAGCTCGAGAGAGTCTCTCGGGAGGCTGGATTAGCCACACGTTGTGGTGAACCAGGATAAAATTCGGTGTGCTCCTTCCTTACGCTCTTTACTTTTACGCTCTCGTTTTTAATTTCCTGCGATTTTGTTTTAAACGCTATTCACCCCCCCTCTAGCGTTGGGCCTTTATTCTAACAGGAGGGAACTGTTAGCAGGTCTTGTATTGTTTCGGGTTTACGTTGTACTTATTGTTTGTTGGGCTTGACCCATTGTACGTGTCTATATAAACACTTGTCGATTAATGAGAAAGCAAGGCATTTGTACACAAAGTTTTACATGGTATCAAAGCCATATTGGGACTCTTGAAACCCTAGTTCTCCTGCCGTGACTTGCTGCGCGTAACCTCAGGCGTATGCCGTGTGTACCAGCTTCGTCGACGCCATCACAGAAACTCCCAGTGCCAAGAAGACGGTGATCCCTATTCACGATCCGTCTTCTTCGTACTACCTTCACCCATCCGAAGGACCAGGAAATTCTCTCACGAAATATCTGCTGCATGGAGATAACTTCGATACAAGGGACGTGGCAAAGCAAAGTTTTTGTTTCCCGGCGGTTTCCCAAAGCCGTCGAATGAGCTTGAATATGCGGCCTGGGAGTCGAACAACTCGATTATTTGTGCTTGGATTCTAAATAGTGTTGAAGAGTATGTTCAACCAAGCATCGTGTCTCACTCAGTGGCTCATGAATTGTGGTCGGATCTAAAATCTCGTTATGGTGGTTCGAATGGGCCTCGTATCCATCAGTTGAAAACCGAGATGCAAAACCTCCGTCAGAAGGGCCAGTCCGTTGTGGCTTACTACAATCAGTTTATTACGTTGTGGAATCAGTTGTATGGAACCAAGGACCCTACGTTCGGTTGCAAATGTACAGCTGCCGCCTTGATTCGTGCGGACGTCGAACACGAGAAAACCCACACTTTTCTTCTCGGTCTGGATGACGAACAATATGGGTCTGTCCGTTCCCAAATCCTCGGGACGGAACCGGTTCCAGACATTAGTCAGGTTTATGCTTTGGTCGCTCGGGAAGAACGCCATCGGTCCATTGTTTGTGCTAGGGATGATCGCACGGATGCGATGGCGTTTGCCGTGGGACGTGCTCCTCCTCCGGTCCAGTATCAATGAACTCATTGTGGCAAATCCGAGCATACGGTGGACCGTTGTTACCAGATTATTGGCTTCCCTGCAGGTGGCAGGGCGGGCGTGGCGGCGGTAGAACTGGCCGTGGTGGTCGAACAGGGGGACGCGGGACCAAAGGCAGTGGTGGTACTGCCAACGAAGGGACGGCCAGTGCAGCGGCTATAGAGGTGTCCGGCTCTGTGCACTCCGGCGAGGCCACCCCAACGTCTCTGTCCTTCGATCAAGTTACACGCCTTCTCTCTATGCTCGGCCCCTCGTCTTCCCATATGTCATTGAATGGTATGCCGCAGTCTACGTCGCAGGATCGGCTTGTTGATAGCGGCGCGTCCCACCACATGACCGGTACATTTTCTTGTTTTCTTGATGTTAGCCCAATTCCGCCGTGCCCCGTCACTCTCCCGATGGGTCACGTGAGATGGCTAAAACCTAGGTTGCACGGAATCGGCTCTTCACTGCCGCCTCGCGCATCGGAATCGTCGCCAGCGCAGATTCTCCGGCGGGGACGGCAGTTGGCGTATCCTAAACGTATCTACAGGTTTGGATTCGTCGGCATCTTGGATACGAACGGATCCGGACGAATCGGGTAGGAATTGGGTACGAATCCGAAATTGGTAATTTTTTTAAAAAAGATTTGACCAAATAGGAATAGGATTTGGAAAGTAACTTAATAAAGACTATATAATTGAGAGACCTGGATCTGCCGCTTCTTCCAAACGAACCGATTCAGAGCAGAGGCTTCTACCGCCGATTGCATCTACCGCCGACGGGAAGGGATCCAGAGCTTTAATTCCAGTTAATTCATTTTCTTTTTCCGGCGAGAAGGTATACTTTGTTACTTCTAAGTCAATTCCTTTTCTTTTTACCAAACTTTAATTCCCCCTTTTTTATGAACCATTGTTTATTCCTTTTCTTATTACTGTTTTTTTATTATTTTTATATACTGTATAAATCTAGTTTGAACCATTGATTATTTTACTAATATAGATTATTTTAGTATGAGTATAGTTTGCACCATTGTTTATTACTGTATTAATTTAGTTTTTTAATTATTTTACTAATATAGATTACAAATATTCCATTTTACTTTTTATGCTAATTAAGTACATCATTGAATTGTTTTATGCTAATTAAGTAGGGTATTATTTTTAACATTTGCATGCCTATATTTAATATTTTAATTATTTTTTGTTGCCGAATCCTTTCCGTCCCCGCATCCTGAAATTTTTAAAAATGCCGTTTCCCGAATCCGTCCCCGTCCCCATATATGTACCCGCATTCGTCTCAGTGCAACCTAGGCTAAAACAAGTGGGAGTGTGCGTGTTTCCCCCACCTTGGTACTCCGGAATGTGTTGTTCGTTCCTACTTTGAGGTGTAATCTTATATTAGTTGGCTGCCTCGTGTGGGCCAACAACTGTCTTGTTATTTTTGATGATCGTTGTTGTGTGTTGCAGGACCGAGTTTCGATGGTGGAGATTGGTCGGGGTAATGCTAGCAATGGAGTTTACGTTTTCCAGCCTTCCGCTACCGTTTCTGCTCTTAGTGTCGACCAAGCCACTCTTTTGCACAAGAGACTTGGTCATCCGTCTCCAAATGTGTTGTCGTTTCCTCCTTTCAATAAAAGTGCTCTGAAATTAGAAAGATGGAGTCTTGTGACATTTGTTTTTATTTAAAACAAACTCGCTCTGTGTTTCCTTTGAGTACCAATAAAGCCGAAGCTATCTTTGATTTAATTCATTGTGATTTGTGGGTCCTTATTCTCCGTGTTTGTTTACTTGTGCTCGTTATTTTTTTACTATAGTGACGTGGATGATCATTCTCGTGCTGTTTGGGTTTATTTGCTCTTTGATAAAAGTGAAGTAACGGGCTGTTTAACACAATTCTTTGCCTTTGTTCATACCCAGTTTCATAAAACCATTAAAACTGTTTGATCTGACAATGGAACTGAATTCCTGAACAGTCCCCTTTGCCGATTGCACAGCGAGTTGGGTGTCTCTGTTCAGACTTCCTGCGTTAACACCCCTCAACAAAACGGGCATGTCGAACACAAACACCGTCACATTCTTAATGTAGCCCGGTCATTGATGTTTCAAGCGTTTTTACCTGTCGAGTTTTGGGGGAGTGTGTTCGTACTGCCGTCTACCTTATAAACCGTACACCTACCAAAGTCCTTGGGCGGAAAACGCCATATCATGTGTTAAACTCCAAACCCCCCAATGTCGGTCACCTTCGGGTTTTCGGGTGTCTTTGCTATGTTCGTCGTATACAGCGTCCCCCAAATAAATTCGCCCCTCGGAGCACTAAGTGCGTGTTCCTAGGGTATCCCACCGGCACCAAGGGCTGGCGCGTCTACGACATGAAGTCACGCCGCTTGTTTCATTCTCGGGATATTTCTTTCGACGAAACTATGTTTCCCTTCGCCACCTCCTCTCCTGCCGTCGGCGTGTCCCCATCCCGTCTCCACATGCCGACTTCCCAGCCATTGTTACTGCACCAGACCCACCCACAGTCCTGGTTTCTCCTCCTTCATCCACCCCACAACCCACGTCCGAAGTGGAGACTTCCTCTTTGTCGTCGCCCTAGTCCGCCCTCGTCTCGTCACCGTCTTCTTCCGACGACGATCAGCCGCACTCCTCAACTTCCCAGACAGTCCCACTTCGGACCCTCCCACCTCGCACCCGTCGTCAACCTTCTCACCTTTCCGATTATGTTTGTCACTCCGCCCTCACGTGCAACTCTGATGCTAGCTCCCCGCCTCTATCTACACGGTCAGGTACTCGTTTCCCTATCACTAACTTCGTGACTTATGATAAAATACAAGACAGGTACCGTGGGTTCTTGGCGGCCATCATCAAGTCGGAGCTGAGCTCCCCTCCTCTTTTCGCACGGCTGTCCAATACGCCAACTGGCGGGCTGACATGCATTAGGAGGTTCAAGCGTTGGAGGGCAACCACACGTGGGACATTGTTGATCTCCCTCCGGGCCGACGTGCGTTGGGGTGCCAGTGGATATATAAGACAAAGTTTCGTTCTGACGGTTCGAAGGAGCGCGACAAAGCGCTCTTTGTGGTTATGGGCAATCATCAAGAACCAGGTACTGATTTCACTGATACATTTGCACCCGTGGCTAAAATGGGTACGGTTCGTATTCTTTTGTCTCTTGCCGTGGCCAAAGATTGGGAGGTATATCAATTAGATGTCAATAATGTTTTTCTTCATGGTGATTTGCATGATGAGGTATATATGTAGGTGCCTCCTAGTTACTCTCACTTACACCCCGGGAAGGTGTGTCGTCTTCAGAAGTCTTTGTATGATCTACGGTAGTCTCCCTGTAATTGGTTTCAGAAATTGACCACTGCTTTGCGTCAATACAAGTTACGCCAGGCCCACAAGGATCATACACTGTTCTTATATAGGCGTGGTCCTGATGTTTTGGCTATCTTGGTTTATGTGGATGACATCCTGATTACTGGTAATAACGCTTCTTTGTGTGCCTCCTTCAAGCGTTACCTGGATACGTGTTTTCACTTGAAAGATTTGGGTCCTGTAAAATATTTTCTCTGCATTGAGTTTGCTCGTTCTTCTACTGGCATGGTACTGTGCCAATGCAAATATGCGTTGGATATTTTATCTGAAGCCGGCTTACTGGGCAGCAAACCCGCCGACATACCAATCAAGCTGAACCATGGATTGGGCCGTTCGGCCAGTCCTCTGCTCCGTGACCCTGGGCGCTATCGTCGCATTGTCGGGCGGTTGATATATTTGACCATCACGCGTCCCGACTTAGCTTATCGTGTTCATGTATTGTCTCAATTTATGCAAGCTCCCAGGGTTGATCATCTCACCGCGACCATGCGTGTATTGCGGTACCTCAAAGGACATCCTGGCCAGGGCATTCTCCTACGCCGTGACAGCACTTTACAGATCACGGCTTATTGTGATTTCGACTGGCCAGTTGCACTCTTATCTCGTCATGCTTGGTGGTTCACCTGTTTCTTAGAAAACTAAGAAACAAACGACGGTATCTCGTTCTTCTGCAGAAGCTGAATATCGCGCCATGGCCAACACCTGCGCAGAGATCAGATGGATACATCACGTTCTTCAGGCTCTCAGTGTGCCCATTTTGCATCCTCCTCGGTTGTTCTGTGATAATCAGTTCGCGTTGTTTATTACTGCGAATCCTGTTTTCCATGAGCGAATGAAACACATTGACATAGATTGCCATATTGTACGAGAGTGTGTTCAACGCCGAGAGGTCTCCACTCGTTATTTGCCGACTCGTCTCCAGGTTGCCGATCTCTTCACTAAGTCGTTGTCTAAACCCACTTTCCCGTTCTTGTGGTCCAAGTTGGGCATTCATGACCTTCATGCGCCAACTTGAGGGGAAGTGTTATCGAGTCATGTATTGTTTCGGGTTTACGTTGTACTTAATGTTTGTTGGGCTTGGCCCATTGTACTTGTCTATATAAACACTTGTTGATTAATGAGAAAGTAAGGCATTTGTACACAAAGTTTTATAGGAACCAATATTTTCTTTCCATAATTGATGATTATTCTAGGAAAGTTTGGGTCTTACTTTTGAAACAAAAATCTGAAGTTTTTGATAAATTTAAAAACTTGAAAGTCTTGATTGAGAACCAAAGTGGAAAAAAACACTTAGGATAGATAATGGCCTTGAATTTTGCAACAAACAACTTGATAATTTGTGTGTTACTTGGGGTATTAAAAGACACAAAATTGTTCCTTACACGCCTCAACAAAATGGGGTAGCTGAGAGGATGAACAAAACTCTTTTAGAGAGGGTGAGGGTCATGTTAGCTACTTCTGGACTTTCTAAAAAATTTTGGGGTGAAGCTGTTTGCACTGCTGCTTATTTGATCAATAGGTCTCCATCTATACCTTTAGGAGGAATTGCCCAGAAGTTGCTTTATCGGGTAAACCCTTAGATTTATCAAACATACGTGTGTTTGGTTGTGCTGGTTATGTGCATCAAATGAATGATAAACTCGAACCAAATCTAAACTATGTGTTTTCTTGGGATATCCTGACGGGGTAAAGGGTTATAGGTTGTGGGTAAAAGGTGAACCAGGTTTTAAGATTGTGATAAGTAGAAATATTGTTTTCAATGAAAATAATTTTCCTTGTTTGTCCTTGCGTATTCCCAATGTTGAAAATGTGGCTCCAAATGAGGTGGAGGAATTGCCTATTATCATTCCTACTGATGTGCATGTGGAAACTAATGAACATGTTGATATGAACCATGATTCACACACTAATGAAGATGAGACTAGTTCTAATGACACTACGCCAAAAACATCATCTGACGACTGTTGATTAACTACTGTTAATGGAAACACAGTAGTTGGAAAAAAACAGACTACTGTAAGTTTTTCTTGACAACAGAACAGTAGTCTAGGTTTTATGCTTTAAAACTATTTTTAAAGTTTCAAGAAATAGTAATGTATCATTCATTAGTTGTTTGTGTTAGTTCAAAATACAATTTTTCTTACAACAGTTGTCAATAACAAGTTAAGAATACTCTCTTTAAACAGTAGTCTGGGCTTTTAGTCTAGAACTGTTTTTAAACTTATTAGAAACAGTTATCTATTGTTTGT